CAGTTTGGTAGCGGAGCTAGGGCTCCATACCACGCGCGCGGCCCATCGCGCGCACCCGGCGCCGCCAGGCGCTATCTCGAGGAACAGATTTTCGGCCACGCGTTGCCAGCGCAGCGCTCCGTGTGGACCTTCCTTGCGGAGGTAGGGCAGCGCCTTCGAGGAAAAACACCAGAGTATCTGTGAGTAGAACGGCATCTCCACAGAGACATACAGGACAAGGTTTTCGCGGAGATCTTCTTCGCCCCCGACAGCAGCCGGTCAGGCTGTGTGTGTTGGACTTGTTATTGAGCACGATTGTGATAAGAGACATTGGCTGACTACAAACACCCAGATCGATTACGGGGTTTCAGCAAATATGTTCCAACAAAATAGGGAAACCGTTCGACGTTTCATACCCTTTCAAGGCCTACATGCAGAGGTTGCATCTCTGGTGGCGGCTGACGCCACTGGATGAACGAGAGGCTGGACCAAGTATGGCGTCAAGGCTTCTTGATCGAGCATTCACTAGTGCAATGAGTCTGGAATGACGAGATGAGACCAGCAGTACAAAGGAAACGCAGCCTTCGCATTGCCCAGAGTTGACGAAGAGCGATATGCAGTAGGTAATATCATGGTCGAAGCAGACATATCAGGAGCAGGGCACTTGCTGCCGAAACTGACGGAAGCATTCGAGGCGCACGATCAAGATGAGCAGGGCGTTTTCTTGGACAGATTCCTGGACACTCGACGTGGCAATCAGACCCTGCAGGAGTACCTACTGAACTCCAGAGAGAGATACACAGAGGCGAATGGCAAGGCAAACTTTGCGATCAGCAGCGTTGGAGTGACACGCGCGTTGTCCAAGTGGAGTGGATTTCCGACGAGGCGCATCGCCGACGTCAAGTTGCATACACATGGGGATTTGGATAAGTTCCAGACAGTGTACTCAATGCTCGCGCGCATCGCCAAGTCGGAAATGAACGCGGGCAGCTCGGGTACTCACTATATGGGGGAACAGACAAGACCGTGCACGTGTAGGACTACTACCAGGACTGCGAAGACGACGAGCTGATAGACTGGACCTATGACGAGGAAAGTGGTCTGCACTACAGAGAGTACTGGACAGAGAACGCTGATGGAAGTTACGGAGCATGCGACGACGACGGCATTTGGTACGAGGCAGAAGACATAGAGGCATGGCTCGGCGACGCGGAGCTGGACCAGTCATGCCAGATGTCAGGTTTTAAACCTCGCTACAGACATGGTGGCGCTCATCTGCCAAAAGGCAACGGCAAGAGCAACAGCAGAGGCAAAGGGCGAGGGCGATCAAAAGGGCGCGGGTCTGGAGGGAAAGGGCGAGGTAAAGGACGAGGGAGCAGAAGCCACCACGAGGGCGGTCATCGAGCACACTGGGGTGGAAAAAGCAGCGGCAATATGAGCGCCAAGAGCCGAAAGTCAGGATGCGCGGACAGCGGCAGCAATGGATGCAGTGTTTTTGGTTCCAACTGGCACAGGAATGCGGACTGCCCGGCGAACGAAGGGCAACTTCCACGCGGACAAGGACATGGTAGCGGACAAGAACAAGGTGGTCACGGATTCGCATCTGTGGTTGGTTCGCATGCAGACGGCGCTCGAGATGGCATAGGGCTCAACTTGCGCGCCTGCGAGGACCTGCCGCGGAAGGAGGTGCCGCCGTCCTCAGCATCTTGGAGTGCTGGCTCTTGTGATATACCGCAGGCGCCCGTTGTCCATTCTCCGCGTCTCATGCGCGACGAGGCGGCAGACGGCGCAAATGAGACGCAGTACTTCGACTGCCCAACTTACAGAATGGACGAGTGCGATCATTGCGAATGTGAGTCATCCCTCATTGAGCGAGCTGCAGATGTCTATCACAAAGCATATCATACTGAGGACAATCAGGAATATGAGCACCCGTCGCAGCTCTATTGGGAAGGAACCTAGAAAGGCCCCAAGAATGGAAAGCAACGGGGATGTCATCGAGGCAAAGGACCAATGACATCCAATACATCTCTCCTGGACTCTATTCCAGAGGTGCAAAAGGAGAGGGCGAATAACGGCCCCATCAGCAGCGGCTCGGACCGCGCGACCAGGACATCGACGCAGACATCTACGGAGTTCGGATCTCAGTCTTCTAAGATTGACTTTCCTTCGGAACCTGTGAGGCAGACGGCGATCGCAGATGGCGACGGCGACCAGGGCTTGCACCGACGGATGCGAGCCAGACCCCCGGGGGCTACGTCATCGGCGCGAGCGCCTGGCTCACCGCAGAAGTGATCCTTCTCGGGCTTGCCGTGCACCTCACTGCTGAGCCGACGCATCTTCCTCGGAGATGACGAAGACAATGGCGGTGCTGACAAGTCATTTGCATCTCATGCGGTTCGAGGAGAACGGCGACTGGGCCTCGTCATTGACCAGGGCACCGCCATGGGTCTAGGAGGCACAGAGACCCTTCGTGAAGTTCGAAGTACTGCTCTGGCCCAGAGGCCAGCAGCTGGAAGTGACGAGCTCGGCAGCGAAACTTTCTGGGATCGACGGGGTGGCCAATCTATCTCTTGGACTTGGGAAGCTACCCCTGAACTTGCAGGCTCTGCCGAATAGCAGCTTCACTATGGATGTTGGGCGGCGCTGGCAGCCAGTGCCCATTACTGACGCCGCTGGAAAGCAGGATCAACAGCGCGATGGGCCTCCTGACGGGCTTCGTGCCGAACGAGGATGGAGTGCTCATCATCGACGGCCTGGGCGGCCTCGCCAATAGGCTGCGCCCGACGGCATTCGCGCGAGCCTTTCGCATGGAATTTGGGCACTACATCCTGCCGATGAATGGCCCGAGTGCTGGAACAGGAAAGGAGCGAGGCCGACTCCGACGAGCAGTGCGAGGTTATGTGGATATGATCATGGACGGCGAAGGCATCGGAGTATCAAGTACGGAAGTTTCTCTTTTCTCTCAGAATGACGAACCGAGCCAGCAGTTGCGCTTGAGCGCCTATGCACCTGACTCGCGTGGCGGAACGCGCAGCGGGGAGATGGGGGCGGTGGCTCCAGCTGCTGTTGGCGAGCCAAGCCAGCTGCGGCGTTTGAGCACCTATGTACCTGACTCGATAGCGTGAAGCCCAGCGGGAAGATGGAGATGGTGACTCCAGCTGCTGCTGGCGCGACAATGAGGACTGGTGTGAACGACGATTCAGTAGCTCAGACCTCCGAGGGTGGAATGAGAGTGAGATTCAACACGCCAGAAGCTGAAGTGAACGACGCCTACCGCGGCGAGCGGGTGAACGGCAAGGCCTACTACCAGCGATGGAGATCTTTGGCGGCGACGAAGTGGATCGGCACGAATCTCTGGTCACATGACTTCGACGACGGCGCGGGTAAATCCATGGAAGGAATCTACCGAGCTATGCCCGAGGAGTTCTACTTCGACGCCCAGCTGCCAGTGGTCGCGCCCGTGAACTACGCGAGGTGGTTGAAGCACATGGGCATCGCGCATGTTGAAATGCAAGACCGAATGTGAGGCAGCGGTCGTCTCAGCCATCGTGCATGTACTCAAGATCTTCTGGTGGGCTTTCCCGTCGATTGCCGATGTGGCTGGGGCATGGCGAATGCACATTATCAGAATCACCTTCGTCATCTTCGACGAGTTTGCAAGATGTCAGTCGCCCTCTGGTCGCCGACGTGCAAGCCGTGGTCAATAGCCAGCAGACATCAGGATCCAAAGGCTCTCCAGACGGAGCGAAGTTACCAGGCGCCGACGCTTTATTCATGAACAAGGATATCGGCGATTCCAAGAGCGACACGATCAGCGAAGCGCCATGGAGAAACCTCGCACAAGCGATTTTTGGGGCAAGTCGGATTTCTCACTGACAGTCGACAGCAGTGTCACGAAGACTAACGAGACGGGTCAGTGCGCCTTTGGATCCTCGAATGAGCTGAACGAGCCCGTTAGGAAGCGGACTCGGCTGGGCGCAACTTTTCCGTTGAGAGTGCGCGTGAGGCATTGCGGGTGCAATGCGGCGCGCGGACGTCTCACCGGCGCGGTAGACGGCATCAAGCGGACAGCCAGGGCAGTGGTGTATCCCAGGAAGTTTTCTGGTGGCATCGTGAAGGGCATCTTCCGCCTGGCCCGCTCCCGTGCCTACTGGGGACGTGCACGTTGCAGACTTGGCGCGAATGCCGACAAAGAACGCGCCGAGAAGCCGGGCAACTGCAAATTTGCACCGCCACCGGCGCAGAGAGCAGAGAAGAAGAAGGCGCCCGAAGCAGCACCGTCAGCAGAGCAACAATATGATGACGATCCAGCAGTGCCAGCTGCAGTTGCTCCACCGGCACCAGCTCAACTCGAACAAGAAATCAAGATTGACGAGAACGAGCCGCGATGGGGAAGGAGGAAGATGAGGACCTATTTGCTGTCAAGGAGGAGCGCGACGAAGACGAGCCGGCCATTGTGCCACTGGCGTCTCTACCTCGCGGCGGTGATCAGCAGGCGCCTCAGGCTCATCCAGAGGTGCCGGGCGCAGAGGTTGCACCGCCTTGCGCCTGCACCTCGTGCTGCGGCTCTTCCTGAGAAGGAGGGGCAGGAAATCAACAAGGAACCCGAGATCGCCATGGAGAAATTGTACGAGGCGAAGCCGAACTTCGATCTCAGCAAAATGGTCACCAGGGTAAAGGAGACCACCGACAAGAAAGAGCTCACGCGTCTCTTGTTGGGCTTCCACATCCGGTTCTGGCGCGCTCCCGTGCCAGACATGATTGTGCTTCTCAAAGGCGCGAAGTGTTGGACCAAGACCATCAGTGCGGTGATTGCTCTGGCCACGCAGGCGCGCTCGTTATGCAGAGACCGCGCTAGACCGATGACGAAACCACGGGCAGGCATTGCGATTCCCCAACGATGAAATTACCGAGTCCAGCTCGACCTGTTCTTCATGTGGGACGAGACCTGGCGCCTGACAGTCGACGAACTCTCGAGATGTAAAGTGGCGGACGTTGTGGCAGACAGAACGCCGAAGGAGTTGTTGACGACCATCATGCGTGTCTGGATCCGCTACTTTGGGCCAATGCAGATCATGATCCTTGACCAAGAAGGAGGTCTGGTCTCAGAGTTGGCGTCGAGGACCTGCGACAAGCTGAATATCATGAGACGCTATGCTGGCATTGACGATCGCACTATGATTGGAATCGTGGAGAGATGGATCGAGCTGATTCGTCTGTGCGCCATGAAGCTGAATCGGACATGCGCGCTGCAGGGCTTTGAGGTCTCCGAGTTCGACCCAGTGCAGGATGCCGCCATGGTTTCCAACGGCGTGGTCAGCAACGGGGGCCAGACTGCATCACATATCGTTCTGGGCTTCACTCCTAGCGACTACTGCGACTTGGAGGCGACCACGTTGGACTCGGTGCAGGGCGCGACCACGAGCTGCCCTGATCCGTTCCAGGCGGCAGTGCGTCTTCGACCTCTCGCCAAATCGGAGATGGCCAGGGCGATCGTGGAGGGCAGGGCCGCCAGAGCGAGCCGCGCCCGACTGCGGCAGCAGGGGCCCGAGCAGGAGATGACACCTGGAGACAGCGTGGACGTCTACCGAATTCCCGAGCGGAAGCGCCAGTCTGGCTGGCGCGGCCCAGCGGAGTTGGTCAAGATCACGGAAGGTACGGCGATTGTGGTTTGGAACGGAGGTCCCTACACTGTACCAGTTCGATATTCGAAGAGGCATGTGGCCTACTTCATGGTACATCAGGTTGGCGATACCACGTTACCAGAGGCGATGCTAATCGACACCTTCAGGAATCTCATGGACATATTCGGCAAGAGCACATGCGGACAGCTCACGCGATCGGGCAAGACAGTGGGTCAGAATGGAAAAGTTGGGTGCTCACCAGATGTCAAGACTCTGATCTCCATCCAGCCTTGGAAGCTATGTATGCTGACCCACCAGCTGCTATTTCAGTTCAAGAGCTTGGACGGAGTCTTGTACGGCACCTGTCTGCGGCGAGTACAAGCGCTACGTGGAGTTCGATGAGGCCTCATTGTGCTCCAAGTGCGCGGCCTATGATATAGATCCAAGTAAAGGCGTCGAGATCAACGACCTAAGCGAAATTAAGTGGGAGGGCGCGTCCTTCCTCGTTTTCTACTCCCTATCGACTCAGACGGACCCCTTCTTGGACGAACGCGCGCAGCCGCGCGTTGATGATCTATCTCACATCGACTCCGCCCCAGCGTCGGTCATCGTTGTCGACCGTGACGCGGCTGAAATGATCAGTCTGGTTCCCGACGTGGCCGATTGGATGTCTGATTTGGAAGCTGCGATGCACGACAGGGCGGCGAGTCACGACAAGACGATGCTAGCCCAGACGCAGGTAATGCAGCATCCAGCGGAGGTCGACAGGCCCATCTCCTGCGACTCTCAGGCATTGGTTCCTGGACCACAGACGGCAGACCCTCGCGCGAGACCGTGGGGTCCTGGGCAAAGGCCACAGCATGCAGTGCCTCCTCCGAGGCTTGGTGGATCAAGAGCTGGATCTCCCCTGGCACCTCCAGCGGCAGCTCAAGCGGCGACTGCGCTCGTACTGTCACAGTGTCGACGAGAACCGCCGCAAGCACAGCTAATGCCGTCGACGCCACCTGCGCTGCCAGTGCACGGACAGACACCGCGACAGGCACCTCCTGTGCAACGCGGTCTTCAGCTTCCGCAGCCTCCGCGACATGAGCCAGGAACAGCGCGGGACAATGGGGGCTTCAGGAGTGGGCCAACATCAGATCACACTTTGGACGACGCAATGGACCTCGCGCAAGAACCCGATTGAGTTCTGGAGCGAGTTGGAGTGCTAGGAAACACGGGGGCACCGACTGCTGCAGCACCGACGGCGGCAGAGTCAACGCGACGAGACTTAGATCGGGTGCGTGGAGACCTCTCGCCCCCCCAGGGACATCATAGAATTCTTCCAGAATTCCCCCCCCAGAATCTCCGGTAGCAGTGGCGGGGGGCCCTCGGGTCTCCGGGGGCGGAAATCTCCGGCGAGATTTCCGACGCAATCTCCAGACAACCTTCCCGAGGTTGGGAATCCCGGCCAAATCTCCGACGAAATCTCCGGGAAGCCCCCTTCAGGTAGAAATCTCCTGCGAAATCTCCGGGACATTCCGCCCGCGCAAGAATGTCCACAAACGGAATCCCATTGTAATCTTCTACACAAGGAATCCGATTCTGATCTTTTACAGAAGGAATCCTGTTGTAACCCTCCACAAACGGAATCCGAATGTAATCCTCGATAAACGGAACCCCATTGGAATCGCCCACAAGAGGAATCCTGTTGTAAAATCCACAGGGAATCTTATTGAAACCCTCTACACAAGGAATCCTAACGTCAGCCTCCACAAACGGAGTCCTTTTGAAATCCGTCACAAAAGGAGATCTGTTGTAGTCCCCCACAACTGGAATCCTAGTGTAACCCTCCACAAAAAGGAATCTTAGCGTATTCCCCACAAAAGGAATCTTATTTTCATCAAGCATAAAAGAAGCCCGTTGTAATCTTCCACGAGAGGGAATCCCGTGGAAATCCGCCACGCAAGGAATCATATTGTAGTCCTCCACATCCTATTGCCATCGTCCATAAACGGAATCCTATTGTAATCCTCCGCGCAAGGAACCCCATGGAAACCAGACACAAAAGGCGTCCTATTGAAACCCGCCGCTAAAGGAATCCTATTTTAACTTGCCGCAGAAAATATTAAGGCACGCCTCCGCAACTGGAGTCCTATTGTTGTCCTCCACAAGACCCCGCAGAAAGAATCCGCTTCAAACCCGATGATGCGGATTTGGATGTATCTGAATTGTGTAGGACGTCTTGGGTCTGGGAATTGGCGAGAACAGGTGAGCATAGGGTATCTCAGACCAGGGTCGAAAATTTGAAGATTGCTTTCAACGCATTACGATTATGACTGTCGGGGCCCGCACAATGGATTCTGCCGATGATTCTGATTGCCCGGGCCCGCGCAATAGATTTCGCAACGCCATTTGTATGCACATTTTGGCGTTGGTAGCTCGTTTATTCTAGGCTCTACGCATATTAGTGCTACGGTTCGCGTTTTTTTTTTTTTTTTTTTTTTTTTTTTTTTTTTTTTTTTTTTTTTTTTTTTTTTTTTTTTTTTTTGTGTTTTTGTTTTTGTATTGTTTCTCTCCTTTTCTTGTTTTTTCGTATTGTTTGTTTGTTGTTTCTTGGTTTTGGTTTTTGTGTGTATATATATATACTTGAATAGAACAAGAAACTAAAAAAAAAAAACACGAACTTGCCATCACCGCCCCCCGCTGCTCCCCGCACCGTGGTCTGGGCCAGAGTTGTTTTGCGGCTTTGGGGGGCAGATCGACGACGGTATTGTCATGTGCTTCGGCTCCCGCCTGAGGGCGCTGCGGCGCTATTGCTGCTAGCGACGTTCATTCATTCGCGGTGTGTGTGTGTGTGGTGCGTGTGTGATGTGGTGCGGTGGTGGTGGTGGTGGTGGTGGTGGTGGTGGTGGTGGTGGTGGTGGTGGTGGTGGTGGTGGTGGTGGTGGTGTGTGTGTGTGTGTGTGTGCGTACGTGCGTGTGTGTGTGTGTGTGTGTGTGTGTGTGTGTGTGTGTGTGTGTGTATGTGTGTGTGTGTGTGTGTGTGCGTGCGTGCGTGGGAACGCGCGCGTGCGCGGCGGTGGTGGCGGTGGCGCGGTGGCGGTGGTGGTGGTGGGTGGGGTGGGGCGGGGGGGGGGGGGCGCAGGCGCCCAGCTCACCGCGCATCCCCGGGGCCGCGGCCCCCCATCGAACGGGGGGGGAGCAAGGGCGGCCCATGGCCAAGGGTACCATGCCAATCGCGCATCAGTGGGGCCGCGCCCACCTGCGAGCTGGAGGGCACGGAACACGCGCGGTGCGCCCTCTTGATGTGTTTGGCGGCCTCCGGCGCCCTCGGGAGCCGTCCCGGGGGCGCCCCAGAGGCTCAGGTACCCCCATGCTTCGTCGAGGTCGCGGTCCCGGGCCCTCCAGACGGCCCAAGAGGCCCCCAAGATGCCCAAGAGGCTTCCAAGAGGTCTCCCAACAGAGCTCGAATATGCCAAAACACATGTATGTTTCATGGGTTTTTGAACAACTTTGGCGTTTCCGCCTGTTCCGCTTCCCGACGCTGCAAAACGCTTCTTGAGGTTCCGAGGATCTCCCCAAGACGGCCCGATAGGCTTCAAAAGCGCCCCAAGACGGCCCAGTAGGCTTCAAAGGCGCCGAGGAGACGTCCAAGACGGCCCGAGAGGGCCCTGAACGCCGTAGCCATTTTGGCTCAAGGTTGACACCAACGCCTCACGTCCACCGACAGCATTCGATGTCGAACCCCATATTGCATTCTTGAGTTTTAGTAGCCATGTCGGCCGCGCGTTGCTGCTTGCCGTTCGCCTTGGCAGGCAGTTATTCTTTTGATTTTATTATTTTGGGCACAGTTGCCCTACCAGTTTCGACATCTCGACAGATCACCGCTGCCCTCATGGACATAAAAGGCAGGGCGGGCATCTCCGGAGGCCCAGAGAACAGGAGCTTCATTGTGGGCGATGGTTCTAAGGTGCACGTGAGCGTCGAGGTGCTGGAGAAAATGCCTAATGACACCACCGCGATCGAGGAGCCGGCCCGCATAGGAACCGCGGATCTGTGCACTCAGCTCGGGGTGTCCTGGTTGGCGCTGGTGTTCGGCGGCGGCGTCTTCGTCATCTTGCCCAGATACCAGACTCTGGCGCAGCTGCTCCTGTTCTTCGGGGCCCAGAACTTCATGAACTTGTTGTACATCAAGGCGATCCTGTCCATCCACACGGTCTCCCAGGAGCTCAACATACGGGGTATCCAGCCGTCCGTAGTGCTGATGGCCATGCAGCAGCTCGTGGGCTTCCTCTTCCTCGCGCTCGCGATCCTCGTGTCCCAGCTGACGCCGTGGGCCTACAGGCCGCATACCATCGTCAGCAAGGACCAGGCCTTCGCGGTGATGGCCCTCGCAGTGTGCTTCACCATGAACATCGCCCTCAACAACTTCAGCCTCTCGCTCCTGGACATGTCCTTTAACGTTATGGTCCGCTCCACGAGCCCGCTGATGGCTCTCCTCCTGCAGCTGTGCTTTCCTGCGAAGGTGGGCATGGTGCTACTCGGCGTCATTTGCGCGGCGCTGGTGGTCATCTCCAAGAGCGCCCGGAAGAAGATGGCGGCTCAGATCGAGGGCGGCGGCAGCGACACACTGGGTCTCTGCCTGTACATCGGCTCGCTCCCGTTCTTGTCCCTGGAGCTCATCGTAGTGGTGATTCTTGGCAAGGGGTTCAAGCTGAACTCTATCGACACGCTCATTTACATGGCCATTCCAATCGTCGTGTTGCTGTTGTTGCCCATCTACTTGATCAAGCACCCCGTGTCTTATCCTGGGCGCGAGATGGTCACGAATTTCAGCGTGCTGGTGGAGATCGCCCAGCTGAGCCCCGGCACCGTGGTGCTGGTGATGCTGTCCGGCATCTGGGCCCTCGGCTACAACTTCCTGCTGTACAACATTGTCAGGGACCTCTCCCCGTTCTTCGTGCGTTTGCCGCAAACTTCAGAAGGTGGCGGCCATCGCCCTGGCCCTGCTCATGGGCATGGAGTCTCGCTGCAGGAGGAGTGCACTGCTCATGGCCATGCTAAGATGGCCTCAAAAGAGCCCACGATGGCCCCAAGATGCACCCTACACGGCCCAATATGGGGTCAAGATAACTCCAAATAGCCTCCAAGGCGGCCAATGAATCCTCCAAGACATCCGTTGGGAAATCCCGAAGCAGCTAAATTAATCGATTTCCCATTGGTTTTTGAAGATTTTTGCATTTGTTGTTTTTCGACTTGCTGACGGTCCAGATGGCCCAAGAGGCTCCCAAGATCGCTCTCAGAACACCCAAGAGCCCTGCACGACAGCCCCGTGACGGCCCAAGAAGCACCAAAGACGGCCCCAGGAGGGCCTCAAGACGGCCCCAGAGGACTCCACACGCCTGAGATTGCCTCCAAGACAGCCACGAAGCGCTCCAAGCGGGCTCGAAGACGGCGAAGACAGGCCTCAAAAACGACTTCCGGCAGCGTCCGACGGGTCAGGAACGCTTTCAGACAACCAAAGAGGCCGGGGCATTGCGGAAAGATAGCTGCCGCGGGGCACGTGTGCACGGGTGCGCTGAACTCCTTGTGGGGCACGATCCGCGTGAAGGGTCGTGCGAACACGCCCACTGAGGCCGCAGGTGGACCTCCTCCCGGCACGCCCCGTGCCAAGCATGTTCCGAAATGGGCGCGGGGGCGCCATGCAAAGATGCCTGTTCTGGAGCATGATTCGCGTGACAGGTGTGCTGACATGGGCGGGGGGGGGTGGCGTTGTACGAACCTTCCGGGCCTTTAATTCGGTGGTGCTCCTTGTGGGCATGATTCACGTGACGGGGTGTACCGCCATGGCCGGGGGGGGGCGCAGTGCGAATCTTGCTTCGGGGGCCGTGGGTGGAGATCCCTGTGGGCCACGATCACGATCCGTGTGCGAGGTGTGCCGAAGTAGGCGGGACGGCGGGATGCGAACTTTGTCTTTGGGGCCGTCCGTGGATGTCCTTGCGGGCCACGATCCGTATGAGAGGTGCGCCGAAGTGTGCGGGCCGATGTTATGAAGCTCCCCTCTGGTGCCGCAGATGCATTTAGTTGCGGGGCACGGTCCTCGTGATGGGCGTGCCACTGTGCGAACCTCGTCTCTGAGGATGGAATCACGTGGGTCTCCCTGTGGGACGCGATGCCTGTGGAGGGTGTGCTGGCATGGGCTTGGGGGCCCAAGCCTGTCTGATGGGCCGCAGGTGGAGCCCCCTGAGGTGCACGATTCTTGTGACAATCAATGTCCTCCGATGCCGAACACTTTAGACTAAAACTGGGGCTCGCTGGAACCTGAGGGCGCGCGAAGCGTGCGCGTGGTTCTAGTATATGTGTATATACACAATTGTATGTACACATATATATACATACATACATGCATGCATACATATCTACATACATACATACATACATACATACATACATACATGCATGAGTGTATACACACATACCTACCGACATACATCCATAAATCCATACATCCATGCATACATAAATACAACCACACACATACATACACACAGACACGCATACATACATACATACATACATACATACATACATACATACATACATACATACATACATACATACATACATACATACATACACATATATACATGGATACATACATATACACATACATACATACATACATACAAACATACAAATATACATACATACATACATACATACATGCATGCATGCATACATGCATGCATGCATACATACATACATACATACATACATACACACACATACATACATACATACATACATACATACACACACATATACAAACCTATATACCTACCTACCTACCTACCTACCTACCTCCATCCATCCATCCATCCATCCATCCATAGACATACACATAAACATACATACATCCATACATATATCCATACATACATGCCTACATACATGCATACGTACATACATACACACATACATACATACGTACATACATACACACATACCTTCATACATACATACATACATACATACATACATACATACACATACAACAAACTGAAGACACGCCGTTGTCTATCTTTATCTGTCGCTGCCTGTTCCGTGTGTTCGTGTTTGTGTTGCTTTTCATGGTGTGGCCTTGGGAAGGCCGTCCAGCGCGAGCCAGCCAGGGCTCCCGAGGGTCGCCCAGGGCCATGGGAAAGCAAGGAAAACAAGGACACCGCATTACAACAAAGAAAGCACAGCGAAAGACAATGAAGAACAGCAGAGGATTGTGACAGCAGAGCGACAACGAATGCAAGCAAGCGAACACACGTAAAATACACACCACTGTTGTTGTATGTCTACTGTTCCTGACCATCCTGTGGAATTGGGTCCTCGTTTTGGAGAGACAGCGCCCCACGTTTTTTCCTCTCCCCTCCTCCTCCTCCTCCTCCTCCTCCTCTTCCCTTCCTCCTCCCGATCCTCCGTCCTCCCGTCGCCCCCCTCACTTTGGCACACCCGTGACACCTTGCATGGCCCCGTAGGAAGCTCCACCGAAGGCCCCACTGCTACCGTCTACATGCGTCCCCCACGCTCATTTCGGCACACCAGTCGCACGTTTCGTGGCCTCATTGGGAGCTCCACCGAAGGCCCCAGTGCCACCGTGCCACCGTCCACAAGCGTCCCCCGCACCCATTTCGGCACACCTCTCACACGCTTCGTGGCCCCATAGGATAGGGAGCTCCACCGAAGGCCCCAGTGCCATCGTCCACATGCGCACCCCCGCGCCCATTTCGGCACCCGCCTCACACGTTGCATGGCCCCATAGGGGGCTCCACCGAAGGCCCCAGTGCCACCGTCCACTTGCCCCATTTCGGCACCCCCCTCACATGCTTCGTGGCCTCACCGGGAGCTCCACCGAAGGCCCCAGTGCCACCGTCGACATGCGTCCCCCCGCACCCATTTCGGCACACCTCTCACACGTTTCGTGACCCTATAAGGAGCTCCACCGAAGGCTCCAGTGCCACCGTCCATTTGCGCCCCCCCACGCCCATTTCGGCACACCCCTCACACGTTGCATGGCCCCATAGGGGGCTCCACCGAAGGCCCCAGTGCCACCGTCCATATGCGCCCCCCCGCGCCCATTTCGGCATCCGCCTCACACGTTGCATGGCCCCATAGGGGGCTCCACCGAAGGCCCCAGCGCCACCGTCCACTTGCGTCCCTCACACCCATTTCGGCACCCCCCTCACACGCTTCGTGACCCCACAGGGAGCTCCACCGAAGGCCCCAGCGCCACCGTCCACGTGCGACCCCCGCACGCATTTCGGCACACCACTCACACGTTTCGTGGCCCCATAGGGAGCTCCACCGAAGGCCCCAGTGCCATCGTACACGCTGCGTCCCCCGCATCAATTTCTGCTCACCCGTCACACATTTCGTGGCCCCATAGGGAGCTCCACCGAAGGCCCCAGTGCCACCTTTATACCATGCGCCCCCCCACACCCATTTCGGCACACTTCTCCCATGCTTCGTGGCCCTATAGGGGGCTCCACCGAAGGCCCCAGTGCCCCACCGTCCACATGCGTCCCCCCACACCTATTTCGGCACTCCCCTCGCACGTGGCCCCATCGTCCTCCACACCAATTCCGGCACACCCTTCACACGCTTCGTGACCCCATAGGGAGCTCCAGCGAAGGCTCCAGTGCCACCGCCCGCATGCGTCCCCCACGCTCATTTCGGCACACCTCTCACACGTTTCGTGGCCGCATAGGGAGCTCCACCGAAGGTCCCAGGGCCACCGCCCACATGAGTCCGCCGCACCCTTTTCGGCGCACCTCTCACCGGGTTCTTGGCCCCATAGCAAGCGCCACCAAGCAGCTATTCACGTATGCACAATTGCATATGGTTGGGTCCTTCGCCAGGCTAATTCGTCGATGTTGTTTCTATATGCTCCTTGTTCCCAAGCATCCTGTACTGTTGGGTCACCATTTGTCAAGAGACAGCGCCCCACCTTCCTCTCCTCTCCTTTCTCTCCCCATCCTCCCTCTCCCCATCATCGTCATCATCATCATCATCATCATCATCATCATCATCAGCAGCAGCAGCATCATCATCATCAGCATCAGCATCAGCATCAGCATCAGCATCATCATCGCCATCATCATCAACCACATCAGCATCATCATCATCATCATCGTCATCATCATCATCATCAGCATCATCATCATCATCATCATCATCAACCACATCATCATCATCATCATCACCATCATCATCAGCATCACCATTATCCCAGTGCGACCCTACCTAGGAGTTGGAATCTCTAGGAAAGCAACATTAGTAGGACCGGTAAACGCCGTCTTCCTCCTCCTCATCGTCGTAGTTGTAGCAGTAGTGGTAGTAGTAGCAGCAATAGTGGATGCTGTGCTGCGCTATGCTATGCTATGCTCTGCTATGCTATGCTATGCTATGCTATACTATGCTGCGCAATGCTATGCTAGGCTAGGCTAGACTAGGCTATGCTATGCTATGCTATGCTATGCTGCGCTATGCTATGCTGCGCTATGCTATGCTGTGCTATGCGTTTGCTTTGCCTTCACTTTTGCCTTCACTTTTGTCTTTGCTTATGCTTTTGCTTGGCACCCAGGGAGCGTAACTGGGGGAACCGCGCGTTTGCTTTTACCTTTGCTGTTACTTTTGCTTGGCTCCCAGGGGACTGGGGGAATCGCCCGGGGCGCTTTCCACTGCCCGGTGCGCTTCCCTTTAAGCCAACTATGCTATGCTGCGCTGTGCTATGCTGTGCTGTGCTGTGCTGCTCTATGCTATGCTACGCTATGCTGCGCTATGCTATGCTATGCTGGGCTATGCTATGATATGCTGTGCTGCGCTATGCTATGCTATGCTGTGCTGTGCTATGCTATGCTATGCTAAAGCTCAGCGAAACTAAATTGAAGGTAAGCTAAGCTAAACCTGAGCTAAGATGAAGCTAAGCTAAACTAAGATGAAATAAGCTAAGCTAAGATGAGATAAGCAACGCTAAGCTAAGGGGACGTAACTGGGGGAACTGCGGGGCGGATGCCG